ACTGAAGGCACCTGAGATGGTTGTTCATGGTCACTCTGGTGTTTTATTATTATTTCTTAGCTGTGTTACGGCCTCACAGCCGTGAGTTCTGCAGCGTTTCGTTAACCAGGCACAAAATGGTTCAATAGCTCTTGTTGCAAGGTCTTTTAAGACCAAACTATCCAATTAAGAAATGACACAGATTATTTCCCTTTTAACCCAATAACTGATCCTTCAAAAAAAAAGGGTATAATTTTTGTATATAATTTTTTAGTATAATTTTTGAAGCTTTCTTCACAGCCTTAGGTCAAATGCAGTGTTCTCTTGTGGGTCTGTGCCAATTAAGAACTGACACCTGGATTATTTCCCTTTTAACCCAATCATTGATCCCTCCAAGCCAGCAATGCAGAATTTCTGTCCAATTACAAACCATCACCCAAACCCAAGAAGAAGAAGAAAGAAGGTAAAGAAGAACAACCTGTCTCTGCTCTAAAACTTCCATCTTGCTTCCTCTTTATTTCTATATTCTAAAATCCCAAACTTTGGTTTTGTACTTAGTGATGTTACACACTTCTAACCAACTGCACACCTGCAATTTTAGTATTATTAATTAATTTTTGAAGCTTTCTTCACAGCCTTGGGTCAAATGCAGTGTTCTCTTGTGGGTCTGTGCCAATTAAGAAATGACACCTGGATTATTTCCCTTTTAATCCAATCACTGATCCCTCCAAGCCTGCAATGCAGAATTTCTGTCCAATTACAAACCATCACCCAAACCCATGAAGAAGAAGAAAGAACAACCTGTCTCTGCTCTAAAACTTCCATCTTGCTTCATATTTATTTCTATATTCTAAAATCCCAAACTTTAAGTCTTCTTCTACTTTGTGATATTATTCAATATCACAAAGTAAACACCTAACCAACTGCACACATGTAATTTTAGTATTATTAATTAATTTTTGAAGCTTTCTTCACAGTCTTAGGTCAAATGCAGTGTTCTCTTGTGGGTGTGCGCCAATTAAGAAATGACACCTGGATTATTTCCCTTTTAATTCAAGAACTGATCCCTTCAATACCACAATGTGGATTTTTCTGTCCAATTACAAAACATCACCCAAACCCATGAAGAAGAAGGTAAAGAAGAACAATTCTGCCCTAAAACTTCCATCTTGCTTCATATTTATTTCTATATTCTAAAACCCCAAACTTTGGTTTTGTACTTAGTGATATGACACACTTCTAACCAACTGCACACCTGTAATTTTAGTATTATTAATTAATTTCTGAAGCTTTCTTCACAGCCTTAGGTCAATTGTAATGTTCTCTTGTGGGTGTGTGCCAATTAAGAAATGACACCTGGATTATTTCCCTTTTAACCCAATCACTGATCTCTCCAATACCACAATGTGGATTTTTCTGTCCAATTACAAACCATCACCCAAACCCTTGAAGAAGAAAGAAGGTGAAAAAAAACAACTTTGCATTCTGGCACAGCCCCATCTGCCTCACACAAATCAGAATTTTCTACCAAGGTTGTTGACACAGAAACCAAGAAAGAAAGGAGGAGAAATAAAAGAAACCTGCAATTATTCCAATAAGCATTTTGTCTGTCTTTCCTGACCAACGAGTAAATGTAAACTTCTGAGTTTTGTAAAAATGCATAAAAGCATCCACGCTGGAATCAAACCAGGTTTGAAGCCTTCTGAAAATGGGAGAGCGTTGCTTTGTAGAAAATATTTCTGCAATTCATTTTGTGCTTGGATGTTGGAGATGAAAAACACTGGAAGAAAAATTGCCTGAGGTGGAGCCCTCAAACTCTG